CCACGGTCATGGGTTCATTGTTTTTTCATATAATAAAATATTACTAGCTGAACCCGTGCACTTCGTAGCCCGTTAAAAATCTTACCTCTTATTATATGTCTCAACTCAAAATATGTGTTACATTTTTCATTTTACTATCAAATTTATATTTATAGTGTTTTATTTTAATTTTACCATAAATAAAGTATAAAATAAACATTTTTAAACCCAATGTTCAAAGTTGATGAAGAGGGCAATTGCCTAGATGCTTCACTATTCCCCTAGATTGCGCCTCTCTGTAGCTAATGCCCATAGATCATAGTTGTCGGACTTATTATTAATAAAATCAAAATAAATAAACATAATGTAGTGATTTTAACTATTATTACTATGTATCAAGGTGGATTTATAAATCCACCTTGCTATGTATTTATGTTTTTATATTTGTGTTATTGCCGTGTATGAAAACGGAGACCATTTTTAATTATTTTAATATCTTATAGTTTATTGTAATAGCAGTTAGTTTATCCGTCACCATCCGTCGAGTTCAGACCGTGCAATATGTTGTAATATAGACATTATCTTTAAATGCTGTCATTGACTCATTGTTTTTTTTTCTAAATTAACATCCTGACGGTCGAATGATAAATGTAACCACCATATCATAAAGTTAACAACTTACTCTTATTCGAATATCTCAATGTTTTTCTTACGTACCAAATATTAAATATGCCACGGAACCTACTATGGTAGGTAATTGATATTCCTTTTTAAATAAAAACTAAATTTAAAAATAATATTAATATATTATACAACAATTTCACTGTTATGACAAAATTGTAAATGTATATACCAGGCAGTGCCGACAACTACATAGCATTCTTGCAGTAGACGTAGGAGTAGTGGGAGTTGTAAAGATGTGTGAGTGTACGCGGAAAATAATGCTCGTCGCTATGTAACAATAGCGTAAGCTTTATACTTCCAATAACTACTTAAATAATTAATTTTTTGGACTTTTCTCATTAGATGGCTCACATACACACCAAATACTCACGTTTAAAAAAAAAAAAAAAACGTAAAAATCGGGCCGGTAGAACTTCAGATATAACTGTCATACGAAATCGCCTCACGTTTTAATAATATAATAGATAGATAATATTATACTGTACCTATATTAGAATATAACGTTATCAATATAATAATTTAATAACTTATACAGTATTATAATAGATAATATTGTTTGTTAACATACAGAAAAATAACACGATGAAGTGGCCATTACAAATCATAGTGAAATATCAGTGTATTATATTTATAAATAAGTAAATAGTAATATTAGCATTAGTTAATTTATTTCAGACATCAACCTTTTAATTAACAATAAAAACTGAAAAGATTTGCGAATATAATTTATAATATGGCTAACATATGAATATATATTCCATAATATATTATGTGCAGGGGTGTTCCCATAGGGTATGCTACATATACGCCGTATACT